TGTTCACTAATGTGACACCCCGAACACGAAGTGCCAAGTCCTGAAACACTAAATCCCGACACTAAAGGACGGTTTAGAGCACTACCAACACTACCAAACAAAATATAAGCCTGACACTCAATTCTGTATCAGCGGCTGAAGTAACGGACTGACAGTGAACACAACATTTCTTCCAGGATGTGTTCAGGGTTCAGTGTGTGTGTGTGTGTCAGGGGCTTTCTGTGGGTCACAGTGTGTGTTTGATGCTGATGTCCTGTCACAGAGAGTTAACATCAGACACAAACACACATTTCCACTTAAAAGAGGAAACTTCAGTCCACACACACACACAGAGCAGGGTACCTGCGTGTCCTGGAAAACCTGGAAATTCAGAGACTATTTTTCCAGTCATGGAAACACCTGGAAATTGATTAAAATGATCAAATATCCTGGAAATAATCTGTGTTGTCCTGGAACATTGGAATTGTATTTTATCCGCTAACTCGGATCGCCTACGTGAACCTGGCTGTGTATTTAGCTTGAAACTCAGCTCTTGGGAGGATAAACTGTGGGACCTTCACAGCGGGTTGACCAGACCCCCACTAGAGGTCGTCAGAGTTTCACAGGAGGTCACAAGGCCTTCTTGATTTTAAGGATTGTAAGAAACCTGAAAAATATTCACAGCAGCAATATCTCAGCATTTCATTCATTCTGTGGAGAAAAAATAATGAAATTGTTGTTTCCAGTTTAAAGTTTAAAGAAATTGGATTTTAACGAGGCTCAGAGTGAATATTGAGCAGTATCAGTCAGGTGGTGGTTAATGTCAGTGTGTGTTTGAGCCACTGTGGCTGCTGTTCATCCTTCATGTGGTAAAAAATGGACTATCTCTGCTGTCCATCACTTGTTTCAGTGGGACCGTTTGTCTTTTGTCTTTTCTTAGACAGTTATTTGCCTGTGGTTTATTCATGTGCTTGTGTTAAAGTCATTTTCATTTGCCCGTTGAATAATTTCCCTCGTCGTTATAAATGATTCGGCCTTTGTTGCTTTCTAATTAAAGAGGGAACACAATGGACTCATGTTGACTTGAAGCACAGACCTTTGACAAAGACACAGTCTGTGACATTTTGCAGCTGTGTGAATCACCCTGCTCTTCTTCTCCTCTCTCTTTCTGGTCCATTTCCCTCTGTTTGGATAAGATGAGGCTGCTGATTATGGAAACCAAAGAGAGGTAAAGAAGGAACATGTGCTGACTGGGTGAAGGAGAGAAGAGTCTCTCTGTGTGAAGTGTCATGGCTGCTGTAATGATAAGGTCAGAGGAGATTTTACTGGAAAATGTCACCATGTTTCCATGTCGTTCCCTCTGGACTCCTCCTGTGAAGGACACAGGTGACCTATCAGCAGCTGAGGAGCAAATAAATGTTTGCAACCAGAGGGACACGTGGATGTGGGAATTGGGATTGGCTATAAATTTAAAGTTGAACTTATAAACCAGGAATGCTCAGAAGATAGATGTGTATAAATCAATACAAGACATACACGGAGTATATAGAAATGAGGAAGGGACAGTGATTTAATTTGTTTTTTCAGATTTAGGATAACGATCTCAATATGTATAGTTAACTTGGGTATGTAGATTGGTATGAATGTATGTAATGTAGTGATATAGATAATGTATGTATATGAATATGTGGAAATGAGAAATTATGTATATGTAAAGATATTATATACAAAAGATAAATAATATATATAAAGAGAGTCTTAATTCTATATATCCATAATTTAATAAGGCAGAGGAGAAGGGTAGGAATTTATAAGTGTACACTCTCTTCCTACTCCTTTAACATGTAGATTCATTTAATTTGTTGTGAGAAATTAACTTCCAACTGAGCTGTTGCATGTACAGGTTGACCTGTTTCTTCGTTTTTTTTTTTTTCTTTTTCTTCTTTCTCCATTTTATGTTTCTTTCGTTTCACTTTGTTTATCTTATTTTTTCCTTTTGTTGGCTTTTGCTGTTAAAATAAATTCTCAATAAACAATAAATATAAACACAGGGTTTATACCGTAGATATTTACACACACCAAATATACATTCTGATTATATCCAGGTTCAGTGCTTACAATGTTGGAAGGAACTTAAAATACTGTTCATATCCAACATGCAGTGCGGGTCGGGACCCCCCACTAGTTTTGGTTTTTTTTAACAACTTTATTGTCATTGCACAAAGTAGAAGTACTAGACAACGAATGCAGTTAGCATCTAAGTGCAGAGTAATGTGATAATATATTGAAGAGGTAAATACCACTCAGATATATACAGCATTAAGATTATAGTTAAGATATTTACAGTATTGAACAGATTACAGAAATGATATAGTGCGGATGTAAGTACAAAGAATTAAATTGATTGCCACCAAAACCCATGAAGGATTGCGATTTATTTGAAGGTGTGCTAGAAAACTTTAAAAATATACACAGTAGGCCTATATCTCAGACTTTGGCCCCCCTCTGTGAGAAGTAAATGTAAGTAGATTAAGTTGTATAATAGAACAATGGCCCAAGCATCAGAAAAAGGAAGCCTATTTAGTCTTTTTAATTATAAAAATACATTAATACAGAGAATTGTATAAAAAGTTCCTCAAACACGAAATTAGCTGCTGAAATTTCTGCATACCAAAGTTCATTTGACAGTTTGTAATATAATATGAATAATCACATTAGTATGCTAGTTTGTGGTAAAACTAAATTATAATAGAAACGGGAAAGTTTGAGAAAACGTCCTATCCACTACTGTCAGGTGTTCAGTTGTTGGGAATTCCACTCTATTTATAAAATTCATAAGGGTTCCGGTTGTTGTATCTACATCTATTCTCTGTTATCAACATTAATTCATTCAAGTCATTGGAATTAAAAATAATATCTAATTCAAATGTAAACGACACCTTAGTCAGGTTATACCACAATAACTATATTAAATTCTAATAATCTCTCATAAAGAGTAAACCTAAATATTCCATATGCTCACATTAATTAAAGGGCGTTGATGAGTAATTACTGTCGTTCAGCATAATAAAAAAAGAGCTTTTATTAACCGACGAGTCAAGGTCGTTTAATGTGTGATAAACAGGAATTCAGATTCAGATTCAGAAATACTTTAATAATCCCAGAGGAAATTATATTCGTACATACTCCAGAACAAATGACATATTTATACCAACAAAATAAATGATATATCAACATCCCAAACAACAACATTCAACACAAAAAAATATAAATATATACATATGTAACTATATATATATATATATATATATATATATATACAGATCAATATACAGTAATAATAACTAATTGGACCTAATAATGAACTTTGTGGCATCTCTTCTGTAACTTTAAGGAAACCAGATTGATGACCATCCACAGTTATTGCTGCCAGTAAGATAACTGTGAAACCAGTTGCATGCATTTGTCTATCCAAAAGAAAAGTATAAGCCACGGTCAAATGCTTTAGACAACAGTCTTTCCAGACCGACAACTGCGAGGTGGCAATTCTACTTTATTTAACATCTAAACCTGTAGAGTAACTTGTATCTCGAGCTGTCAGATGAATGTAGGGGAGTAAAAAGTACAATATTCCCTCTAAAATTCTGTGGAGTAAAAGCATAAAGTAGGAAGCCAGAGGTCAGAAGCCACAGTATACACCCACCTACCAAGACTCCACTACACCACTGGGTTCTTCATAGCAGGTTGGCACTCAGAAGAGTCCAGAAATAGTAGGAGAGGAAGAGGGAGAGAGCAGAGTACAGTATCAGTCAAGAAGAGACAAAAGGGAGAGAGCAGAGAGAGTGAGGGGGAGTTGGGTCTTGTGGAAAGCCCCGCTATAAAAGATTGATGCAGAGAGGTTGGATTGAGTGGCGCCGCAGGGGAGAGGAGAGAGGGAAGGTGGGGAGTTTGATTAGCAAGAGCAGCAGTGATTGAACGCTGGATGGATCGACAGAGAAAAAGAGAGAGAGAGTCGCTTTCATGTGTCAGAACAAGACGAGGCAGGTAAAGGCTGACGGAGGAGAGGTGAGAGGAAGAAGTGAAAGATCAGCTGTGTATCAGGTTGGATGTGTGAGATTGAGTGTAAAAGTAGAAGAAGGTGTCTTTTCTTCCACTGGATCAATTGCAAGAAAACATCCTGTGATGGGGGATGTTGTTTTCTGCGTGTTGGTCAGATTTGGTTTAACTGCTGCTGGGCAACACTACTGATCCCTGCTGTCACAATGTTTACTGACCGCTAACAGAAAACCTCTCTGACACCATTAGATCACATCCTCTTGTCTGACTTATGTCTCCTGTCTGCTCGTATCAGCAAAGTCAGTGTTTTCAAGATGGAGTCAGAACCAACTGTTCAAATCAACTCCACATTCAACAGTTTGGACCAAAACTAAAACAACAGCGTATTTTTCATACGAACCAAATGAACCGAACTATGGCTGATCTTCCAAGATCAATGAATCATATCTTGGTGCTTCGGTTTCTATTCATAGAAACTGTACAAGAGTGCGTGATATGTGTTCTACTTATCAGTCCCGCGACGTTGTGATCACAACAATCAATCCATGTGAATTCTGGGCGAATTTGCAATTTTGTCCAATCACCCCAACTTGTCCACAAATCAAACTAATTATTGTAGTTTTCCTGCGCCTGAATTGGACCAAAAAAGGTGCCAGTACCCTAATTCAGCCCAACCCTAACCCTACCCCTAACCACAACCTAACCCTGATCCTTTTGGCGTTCAGGACATTGTCAGCGCTGTTTACTCTGCATTGTCTGTCTGTTCAAGTGTCCATTTTTATCTTTTTAATCACATCAAGATTGACAGCTGAGCCCTGTTCGCCATTGAGTTGCTGGGAGTATGGGTGGGACCTCGATACCACGGGGCCAACCCCGATCATTTTTGCGCAGACTGTAATAAGATGTTATGGTCTAGAACGTACTGCTTATAACAGTATTTACAGAACAGTTCCCACCATGAGCAAGCCCTTGGCGGTGAGGAAAAAGTTCCTTTTAAGAGGCAGAAACTTCGAGCAGACTCGTGGTGGGCAGCCATCTGTCTCGACCGGGTACAAGCAGCCTTAAATTTTTAATAATTATACTAAATGAAATTGCTAAGATATGCGGAAAAATATTGCAACATGCATCACAATGTGGTTGATGTGAGTATAACATGAGCGTTTGTCCTCTTTCTTCCTTCCCTCACCCCAAACCTTCTCTTTAAACCCCTTCAGGATCTCTCGAGCTGCCTCCGTCCTGCTGTCTGACCCCTGTTTCCAACTCCACTCCATCCAGCACCTGTTAGGGGAGGGAGGAGACTCCTCCAGCTCGTCAGCGGCCGTCACTGCCACCGCCACCGCTCGCCCAGTCATCGGGTCCTTGGGGTCGTCTGTGGCCGCTCCCATACCTTCAGCTGCTGGAAACCCAGAGCGCAAACACTTCTCTCTGCACGCATGTGAGTGAAACTCTACGTTGTAAAATCCTCTCCAGAGGGCGCTGAGTGGAATCTGCATTCAGCGTCATCATTGCATCAGCATTGGTTGAGTTAGATATTAGTGACCTGACCAGACCTCTGTAGCTGCTGCAGGCTACATTAGCCGCTACTAGCACAACACAGCCCAATCTTAGAGGTGCATTATGGGTAATGTAGAGGCCAATAGGGACCATTGTTATTCCTTATTATGTTATAGGAGTGGAATGATAAATCTGTGGAGTTCTCTTTTAAATATTAACAATATCAGTAAATACAGAACTTCTGAACGCAGATTTGTTCTCCATTACAGTGTGCTGAATTAGCTATTAGCAGCTTCTGTTAGCAGTTCATCAGTGATATAATTCCAATAAATGGATCAGAAGGAGGCCGAAATAATCGACGGCCGCTCCAGGTCTGTGGCCCGCCCCCAAGGCGGTATTCCCCGCTGGGACCCCCGGGTACAGACAGCTAATAGCTAACTAGCTAATAGCAGCTAGTACAGTTAGCATATGTAGCAGGGCAGCGGTAAGAGACTTCCTGTGTTACAAGAGGAAGAATAGGTCCGTCGTTGCAACAAATCCTCTTTTTCGTTGGTTGTCGCCCTGGGGACGAGGAGCGGCTCCTGAACGGCAGTTTAACGTTAGGGTTTGGTTTCTCTGGAGAGCTGTCGGCTGACTGGAAAGTGTCACTGAGACGGACTGAGACAGGAAAGCTGTCAAATGTTAATTTTTCAGCTGTTGAGGTCCCGAAATGTCTCAAAGGACATATCGGGACAGTCGGAGAACTTAAAAATCAAATCAGAATCTAATTTTAAAGAGAATCAGGTAGAAGTTTGGCTGAGTCTGTGCTTTGGAAACAGGCCCGTTATGTTCTTAATGTGATTTAGACTTTAATGTTATTTAGGGCAGCAGTCACATTTATCATGGCTCTGCTTGTGCATAAGAAACCCACTGCTGTGTATGAACTGCTGTTATATTTCATGGTGCCCCCGTTGTTGTTTTACTAAGTGCTTCATGTGTTTAGGCTTCAGGCGGACCAGGGCAACATACTTTTTCTTGTGTGTGAT